TTTAGCTAACGCTCCACAAAACTTCCGGGTCACGTAAACTGTACCGATAAAATATTAAAATCAAATTCTGCGTTGCTGTCCGTTTTTCCATTTCGTATTCTTGATCGGAGCTTAGAATTCAAATATGAAAACCCAATCCTTTTTTCGTTTTTGGTTTAACCATAAAAAACAAAAAACAAAATAACCAGTCAATTTTTTATTTTTTGTTTTTTGATTGGCAATTGAAAATAGAAAGAACGAATGATACACGGATTGAGATGTGATCTCTCTTTTTAATTTGACAGCTGACATTCTTCTAAAGGTTAATAGATTAATTGTGCTTCTAGTGCATCAATATCAGGGCACAGGATATAAAACATCACCATTTTAAGTGGAAGGTGATTTAAATTGAGCATTACAGAAGCTAGATGGATATTAGGAATCACGGTGATGGATAAAAACACATAATATGCACAAAATTATGAGAACACCTGCATTTGATCCACCTGCAGCTGTAATCAATACAACATTAGAAGGAGCTACAGACTGTAATAGCTCATTAGATCAAAGACATTTTTGGATCTGGTCAGGGTTCTGGATGAGCACAAGACAAACTGACTGTTGGCTGGTTCTGGGGATATAATGTTGTTTTTTCTTATCCCACATTGGAGCACTTGTCATGGAGATCATTTTGAAAGTACCGTGCCTGGATGCTTTGCATAGATGAGATGGAGAGGAATGGAACAGTTTCAGGAATTCTGTACTGTTTGTAAACAGAGAACCTGCTTCTCTGGTGCAAATTTTAATATGACATTCCACTTGCAGGGAGAATCCCATTTTTACATAATTCTGCTTCTTTCTTCCTCTGTGTTATGACGCTGATGCCACTGGTAAAGATTTATTGATTAGGAGGTGTGGGGACACCCAGGCCCCAAAGCTCTTATGGTTCAAATCTGCTGTAGTAACAGGGGTTTAGCAGGTCCTCTTACAATTCCAGTTAGACTGTCAAATTTCCGGCTGGCCCATGAAAGATTGGACAATTTAAAACAGTGTATTTACCTTGTTAAACTGTTTAAAATGAAAAATAGCTTAATGTACATAAAATGTGGGCTGCTCAGTGGCGCAGTGGGTAGCAGTGGGTTCGATTCCCCCTGGGGTCTTTCTGCATGGAGTTTGCATGTTCTCCCTGAGCGTGCATGGGTTCTCTCCGGGTACTCCGGCTTCCTCCCACAGTCCAAAACTGCCCACATCTCCAAATGACTGTTAGGTTGATTGGCTTCTCTAAATTGTCCTTATGTGTGAGTCTGTGCATGAATGGTTGTTTGTCCCATTTGTCTCTGTGTTGCCCTGCAATGGACT